TATGATTCATCATATATTTATTAGCGGCATTTAACATTTTACTACATATGTGGACGATGTTAGGTTCTCTTTTCTTATTATTATCAGTTCGTAATCCTTTACTTTTACAAAGAAATATACAAATACCTATAAAAACTAAAAAAGTTAGTCTTGCTATACCTATTAAGAATCTTACCCATTAAATAATTACTGTGATAACTATTTTAAGTCAACATCCTATATGAGCTACCTAACCCCTATTTTCTCTCCTTTTCCACTCTTTTCTTTCTTTCTTTTTCTTCTCATCCTATTTTCTCCCTTTCTTTTCTATTCTATCTTTTTCTTTATTTTTTCCTGTTTTTGTAATAACCCCACTGATTGTTTTCAGGGGGCTGATCTTTGAATAGGAAAAAGAGTGGATCTGCAGGGTCCCAAATGAATTGGCTATTTTTTAGAATCTCGTTCCTCTACTTAGGACCTCTTGTATATGATTTTTTCTATTGTGTGACCTGCTGGCACGATTACTTAGGTTCCGGAAGGGTTCCGGTTGAATTCGAAGTAATTAGTTCCATGTTAGTGACTGAAGGTGGCTAATTTGACTTAAATTAACATTTTGGGTAAATGACCTTAGAATAGGGATTTTGAAGGTTCCAATAAGTTCGTATGGTGATTTTGGACTTGGGCGTATTTTCCGGTCGAGGCTTGGATGGTCCGGAAGCGGTTCGACGCTTATTGTCCGAAGTTGGCATTTTGAAGATTTTAAAATTTGCTAAGTTTGACTTAGAGTGGACTTTAGTGTTATCAGATTTTGTTTGGTATTGTGTGTCTGGGGTCAGGTTCGCGTTGTTATATTGGACTTGTGTGTGAACTTTGATTCTATTCTAAGTTGTCTAAGTATGATTTCCCGCGCTCGGAATTAGTTGAAAGAAATTGGAAGTTTGAAAATTTGATTAGTCTAGTTTGGGATATGATTCTTGGTTGTGATGTTGTTTTACGTATTTTGAGACCTCGCTTAGGACCAAATTAGGTTAATAGACTTGTTGGTATTATTGAACGGGGCCCGATTGGTTCATTTCGATGTTGTCAGATCGGAGCCACAGGTTCTTTTCCTTACATAAAAAGAAAAATAATTTTACATGGACTCCGGAGTATCAGCAAGCATCGGAGGAATTGAAACGGTATCTATCGAGCCCACCTTTGCTTCACACCCTAATGGCAGATAAGAAGCTATACCTATACTCGGCGGTTTCCGAGATAGCGGTAAGTGGAGTATTAGTCCGAGAAGACAAGGTACACAGTTTCCAATTTACTACGTGAGTCGAACTTTAGGAGATGCTAAAACCAGGTATCCACACCTAAAACAATTGAAACTTGCATTAATAAGCGCATCTAGAAAACTAAAACTATATTTTCAATGTCATCCCAAATGTGTTATTACCACATATCCCCTTCGGAATATATTGCACAAGCCCGAGTTATCGGGCCGATTGGCGAAATAGGCCGTCGAACTTCGCGGGTACGATATCGAGTATCAACCCCGATCGGCCATCAAGTCTCAGATATTAGCAGACTTCAAGGTAGACTTTTCACCAACCCTTGTACCCGAAGTGGAAAAGGAACTTCTACTAAAATCGGGTACAACATCGGGGGTATGGACCCTCTTCACGGAGGGAGGCTCGAACGTGAAAGGGTCCGGGCTTGGTATTGTTTTAAAACCTCCCACGGGCAATGTTATTAGACAATCGATTAAAATGCCAAACTAACTAACAACGAGGGCGAGTATGAGGCTATGATTGCAGGTCTCGAACTAGCTAAAAGCTTGGGAGCAGAAGTCATCGAAGCTAAATGCGACTACCTACTGGTAGTTAACCAGGTGAACGGAACCTTTGAAGTTCGAGAGGACAGGATGTAGAGGTACTTGGAATAGTTGCAGGCACTATTTCAACGAATGGGCTCTGCAACATGTACCTCGGGAATAAAATATTGAGGTCGATGCACTTGCCAACATGGGATCGTCGGTCCACAAAAATGAAATCAGCTCGGGGACTATCGTCCAACTCTCGAGGTCTGTAATCGAGGAGGGACACGCCAAAATCAATTCTACAAGCTTAACTTGGGATTGGAGAAACAAGTATGTCGAATACTTGAAAAACGGGAAACTACCATCAGATCCCAAGGATTCGAGGACCTTACGAACTAAAGAACGTTATACAGAAGAACGTTTGATGGTCCATTGGCAGTATGATTGGGGCCGGGAGATACTGACTATGTATTGCGAGAAATCCACGAACGCTCTTGTGGAAACCATTTTGGCACCGAGTCACTAGTTCGAAAGGTCATCAGAGGAGGATATATACTATTGGGATAGCATGGAGAAAGACTCTAAGGAGTCCGTTCGAAGATACGACAAATGTCAAAGGTTTTCACCAACGATTCACCAGTCCGGTGAACAGCTTCACTCGGTCCTATCCCCATGACTATTCATGAAATGGGGAATGGACATCGTTTCTTCTCTGCTACTGCCCCAGGTAAAGCTAAATTCATACTATTTATGACCAACTATTTATCTAAATGGGTTGAAGCACAGGCCTTCGATAAAGTAAGAGAGAAATAAGTGATCGACTTCATATGGGATCACATTGCATATTGATTCGGGATACCTGCGGAGATAGTGTATGATAGCGGCAAATAATTCATCGGCAGTAAGGTAACAAAATTCCTCGAAGATCACAAAATAAAGAGGATACTATCGATGCCATATCACCCTAGTGGAAACGGACAGGCCAAATCAACGAATAAAACTTTCATCCAAAACTTGAAGAAAAGGCTAAACGAAGCCAAAGAGAAGTGGAGAGAAAAGTTTCTCGAGTTTCTATGGGCATATCGGACAACATCGAAGTCCAGTACTGGAGCAACTCCGTTTTCTTTAGTCTACGACTCCGAAGCCTTAATACCAGTCGAAGTCGGAGAGTCCCGCGCCAGGTTTTGACATGCAACGGAAGAATCAAACCACGATGCAATGAATACTAGTCTCGAGTTATTAGATGAAAGACGAGAAGCAGCACTTGTTCGAATGGCTGCACAAAAGCAACGAATTGAGAGGTATTACAATAGAAGAACAAATCTTCGACACTTCAAAGTCGGGAACTTGGTCTTAAGGAATATCACCATCAATACTCGAGACCCTAATGAAGGGAAACTTGGTCCTAACTAGGAAGGATGTTATCAAATCCTCGACATAGCCGGGAAAGGATCTTACAAGCTTGGAACAATGGACAGCGAGCAATTGTCGAATAATTGGAACATATCACTCCTCAAGCGATACTATTGCTAAGGTATGGTTTTCTCCTTTTTTCATCTACTTAAATATTCAAAACTAACTTATTGCAGGTATCCCGTCCGAGAAATCAAGACCTCAGGTTTTAAAGTACGCGTTGCACTCTATTTCCCTTAGACCGGTTTTTATTCCCAAAGGGTTTTTCCGGCAAGGTTTTTAACGAGGCAATAACTATGTGCTACCTGGGGATAATTTAACAAGATCCAAGGCTTCTTTGAAATCAACCTCGAATACTGGGGGGAATCACCCTCGGATGTTATGTAAATGGGTTTCGATAGGAAGAATTTTGTGATGGTCCAAATGGTCAAATGAACCGTGTCCATATAGATTAGTTGAGTCCCGACAATGAAACATGTACGCATAGAAGCACTTTATTTTTTCTCAAACTTCCCATGTTTGAGGTAGAATTTCTATTATATGAGTCATGTATTTATGATCTATTGTGCAAAACTGACACTTATGAAGAATGGTCCAAGGGCCAAGTGCAAGCATACCTCGAACATTCGAGGACTACCTACTCGAGCTATCTAAGTTCGAAATCATAAGACCTCAAAGAGGCACCCCCCGATAAACGGGCCAAGGCCATCACACTCGGGGACAAACATGTCGAATAAGTTCAAAATGTTATCTGGAAACAAGTCAACAGATATACCCGAAAGCTACGGCCATATTAAAAATTACGGTCATATAAAGGCTACGGCCGAAATAATACGGCTCGGAGACCTCCGACTTCCTCCATAAATTAAAGGCCTTCAAATACATTGAAGAACCAGTTAAATAAGGCTACCCTTGGCAAAGCAAATAAAAAAGGGCTTCGATAAAATCAACGCTCGAATAGTTTAAAGGCTTCAATAATATCAACCTTCGAAAAAGCCTCAAGAGGTATTAAATTATCTTAACACAAACGAGTTAAGAAAAAATTGGGTTCTGACCGTTGAACCCTCGAAAAACCCAACGGGTACGAAAAACACATGCTAAGGAATAAAAAAAACTTCACTAAGTCTTTTAGCCGAAAAGAGGGAAAATTATAGCCGTTTTTAGAGGCCCATTTGGCCTAAAGATCCTAAGGGCTGACCTAAAAGAGCCTAAGGGCCAATATAAAAGAGCCTAAGGACCGATCTAATAAGCCTAAGGGCCGATATAATTAAAGTTTGAGACCTCGCTCTCGCTCAAATCGAATCCAAGGGTTCGGTTATTACGAGCTTAAAATAAACGACCAACTATAGCTTTAAGATTCACATAAAAGGTATAACAATGAGCTCGAAAGCTTAACAATCATTGACAAAAACTTAGGGGTCTATCCTATCCTAATAAAACTATCCGATCTTGGTTGTTCGAGATAACCCACCTTCCAGTTCAAAACGAGCCATCCCCAAGACGNACTAGTAAAAGAAAAAGTTTGCAATTTTTCATTAATAAATTGAAGTAGGCAGTAGCATTCTTCATGTTGTGAAATAAAAGGTATCATGTGTTTACATGCCACATGTAACTTCCAAAAATCATGGAGTTGAGATTCTGTCAAATCTTTATATTGATTAAAAGTATCTTTTTCTAACTATTTTAATGCTTCTTCAAGCTTAAACTAAGAAAATAATAAGAGAAGCATCAAAGCAACAACCTTACTATTTAATAGAGGCATGTCAGCAGTCGATGCGTATAAATTACGGCCTCCGTGAACAAGAGATGCTCACACCAAAATTTGCATAAAGAGAATACTGTTATTCCTCCCATGGCCTTGTCCAAAATCGGTTTTTTATTCACTATTCTTTCGTGGCATTCATCAGTTAGTATCCATTTCTCTTTAATCTCTAAATTGTAATTTTATGCTACTGTATGCGTCGATAAACATGTTGCTAATTATGTGGCCCTCTTCGCTTTTATTATTCATTTATGTGTATTTATTTTTGAGCATGTCATAAATGCGCATTTAATGCTTCATAAGTTATAACTTAATTCTAAAAAAAATTATAATGGTGTATATTTCAGTTAATGTATCGTGGCTTCCGAAGACGCTAATTATGGCTACATGGAATATTGAACGTGATCACTCAAGGTTTGGAAGGAGATTACTTTCGAAGCTTAATACATGTCTTCGAAGTTGTACTCCGCATTCGTCTGATTGCAGTGATTGTTGGGTTTGTTTTGCATGTACGCATAACGCTTTGCTCGGCAATGTGTGCGGCTAAGTGGAAATATTACATCAATTTCCTTTGTATGTTATTGTTTCCTTGTCTTTCCCGGATCCCATTTATGGGATTGCACCGGGTTTGTTGTTGTTGTTCTTTCATATATTGTACGATTTTAAAAAAAAAGTGATGTGACTTCCCGTTTATGAATAATAACATCTTCCATTTGGAATGCTTTTTGCACTAGCTTCTTAGTACTTGTATGATTCATCATATATTTATTAGCGGCATTTAATATTTTAGTACATGTGTGGACGATGTTAGGTTCTCTTTTCTTATTATTACCAGTTCGTAATCCTTTACTTTTATAAAGAAATATACAAATACCTATAAAAACTAAAAAAGTTAGTCTTGCTATACCTATTAAGAATCTTACCCATTAAATAATTACCGTGATAACTCTTTTAAGTCAACATCCTATATGAGCTACCTAATCCCTGTTTTCTCTCCTTTTCCACTCATTTTTTTTCTTTATTTTTCTTCATATCCTATTTTCTCCCTTTCTTTTCTATTCTTTCTTTTTCTTTATTTTTTCACATTTTTTGTAACAACCCCACTGGTTGTTTTATTTTTTAGAATCTCGTTCCCCCTATTTAGGACCTCTTGCATATGTTTTTTTCTATTGTGTGACCTGCGGGCACGGTTGCTTAGGTTCCGGAAGGGTTCCGGTTGAATTCGAAGTACTTAGTTCCATGTTAGTGATTGAAGGTGACTAATTTGACTTACATTAACATTTTGGGTAAATGACCTTAGAATACGGATTTGAAGGTTTCAATATGTTCGTATGGTGATTTTGGACTTGGACGTATTTTCGGGTTGAGGCTCGGATGGTCCGGAAGCGGTTCGGCGCTTATTGTCCGAAGTTGGCATTTTGAAGATTTTAAAATTTGCTAAGTTTGACTTAGAGTGGACTTTGGTGTTATCAGATTTCGTTTGGTATTGCGTGTCTGGGGACAGGTTCGTGTTGTTATATTGGACTTGTGTGTGAACTTTGATTCTATTCTAAGTTGTCTAAGTATGATTCGCCGCGCTCGGAGTTAGTTAAAAGAAATTGAAAGTTTGAAAATTTGATTTGTCTAGTTTGGGATATGATTCTTGGTTGTGATGTTGTTTTACGTATTTTGAGACCTCGCTTAGGACCAAATTAGGTTTGTAGAATAGATGGCATTATTGAACGGAGCCCGATTGGTTCATTTCGAGGTTGTCAGATCGGAGCCACGGGTTTTTTTCCTTACTTAAAAAGAAAAATGATTTTACATGGACTCCGGAGTGTCAACAAGCATTGGAGGAATTGAAACAGTATCTATCGAGCCCACCTTTTCTCCACACCCTAAAGGCAGATAAGAAGCTATACCTATACTTGGCAGTTTCCGAGATAGCGGTAAGTGGAGTATTAGTCCGAGAAGAACAAGGTACGCAGTTTCCAGTTTACTATGTGAGTCGAACTTTAGGAGATAATGAAACCAGGTATCCACACCTAAAAAGTTGGCACTTGCATTAATAAGCGCATCTAGAAAACTAATACCATATATTCAATGTCATCCCATATGTGTTATTACCAATATCCACTTCGGAATATATTGCACAAGCCCGAGTTATCGGGCCGATTGGCCAAATGTGTCATCGAATTTGGCGGGTACGATATCGAATATCAACCCCGATCGGCCATCAAGTCTCAGATATTAGCAAACTTCATGGCAGACTTTTCACCAACCCTCATACCCGAAATGGAAAAGGAACTTCTACTAAAATCGGGTAAAACATCGGGGGTATGGACCCTTTTCATGGAGGGAGCCACGAACGTGAAAGGGTCCGGGCTTGGTATTGTTTTAAAACCTCCCACGGGCAATGTTATTAGACAATCGATTAAAACTGTCAAACTGACTAACAACGAGGCCAAGTATGAGGCTATGATAGCAGGTCTCGAACTAGCTAAAAGCTAGGGAGAAGAAGTCATCGAAGCGAAATGCGACTCCCTACTGATAGTTAACCAGGTGAACAGAACCTTTGAAGTTCGAGAGGACATGATATAGAGGTACTTGGACAAGTTGCAGGCACTGTTTCAACGAATGGACTTTGCAACATATACCTCGGGAACAAAATATTGAGGCTGATGCACTTGACAACTTGGGATTGTCGGTCGACAAAATTGAAATCGGCTCGGGGACTATCGTCGAACTCTCGAGGTCTGTAATCGAGGAGGGACACGCTGAAATCAATTCTACAAGCTTAACCTGGGATTGGAGAAACAAGTATGTCGCATACTTGAGAAACGGGAAACTACCATCAGATCCCAAGGAATCGAGGACCTTACGAACTAAAGAACGTTATACAGAAGAACGTTTGATGGTCCATTGGAAGTATGTTTGAGGCCGGGAGATACTGACTATGTTTTGCGAGAAATTCACGAAGGCACTTGTGGAAACCATTTTGGTGCCGAGTCACTAGTTCGAAAGGTCATCAGAGCAGGATACTATTGGGATAGCATGGAGAAAGACTCTAAGGAGTCCGTTCGAAGATGCGACAAATGTCAAAGGTTTGCACCAATGATTCACCAGTCCGGTGAACAGCTTCACTTGGTCCTATCCCCATAACCATTCTGAAATGGGGAATGGACATCGTCAGTCCTCTGCTACTGCCCCAGGTAAAGTTAAATTCATACTATTTATGACCAACTATTTCTCTAAATGGGTTGAAGCATAGGCCTTCGAGAAAGTCAGAGAGAAAGAAGTGATCGACTTCATATGGGATGACATTGCATATCGATTCGGGATACTTGCGGAGATAGTGTGTGATAATGGCAAACAATTCATCGGTAGTAAGGTAACGAAATTCCTTAAAGATCACAAAATGAAGAGGATACTATCGATGCCATATCACCCTAGTGGAAACGGACAGGCCGAATCAAAAAATAAAACTATCATCCAAAACTTGAAAAAAGGCTAAATGAATCCAAAGAGAAGTGGAGAGAAAAGTTGCCCGAGTTTCTATGGGCATATCAGACAACATCGAAGTCTAGTACCGGAGCAACTCCATTTTTTTAGTCTACAGCTCCGAAGCCTCAATACCAGTCGAGGTCGGAGAGCCCAGCTCCATGTTTCGACATGAAACGAAAGTATCAAACCACAAGGCAATGAATACTAGCCTCAAGTTTTTAGATGAAAGACGAGAAGCAGCACTTGTTCGAATGGCTGCACAAAAGCAACGAATCGAGAGGTATTACAACAGAAGAACAAATCTTCGACAGTTCAAAGACGGGGACTTGGTCTTAAGGAAAATCACCATCAATACTCGAGACCCTAATGAAGGGAAACCTGGTCCTAACTAGGAAGGACCCTATCAAATCATCGACATAGCCGAAAAAGGATCTTACAAGCTTAGAACAATGGACGGCGACCCATTGTCGAATAATTGGAACATATCACTCCTCAAGCAATACTATTTCTAAGGTATGGTTTTCTCCTTTTTTCATCTACTTAAATATTCGAAACTAACTTACTGCAGGTATCCCGTCCGAGAAATCGAGATCTCTGGTTTTAAAGTACGCGTTGCATTATTTTTCCCTTAGACCGATTTTTATCCCCAATGGGTTTTTCCGGCAAAATTTTTAACGAGGCAACAACTATGTGCTACCTGGGGATAATCCAATAGTATCCAAGTATTCATTGCAATCAACCTCGAATACTGGGGGCATCACCCTCGGATGTCATGTAAATGGGTCTCGATAGGAAGAATTTTGTAATGGTCCAAACGGTCGAATGAACCGTGTCCATATAGATTAGTCGAGTCCCAACAATGAAACATGTACACATAGAAGCACTTTCATTCTTCTCAAACATCCCGTGTTCCTCCATAAATTAAAGGCCTTCAAATACTTTGAAAAACCAGTTAAATAAGCCTACCCTTGGCAAAACAAATAAAAAAGGGCTTCGATAAAATCAACGCTCGAATAGTTTAAAGGCTTCGATAATATCAACCTTCAAAAAAGCCTCAAGTGGTATTAAATTATCTTAACACGAACGAGTTAAGGGAAAATTGGGTTCTGATCGTTGAACCCTCGAAAAACCCAACGGGTACGAAAAACATATGCTAAGACATAAAAAAATTCACTAAGTCTTTTAGCCGAAAAGAGGGAAAATTATAGCCGTTATTAGAGGCTGAGTTGGCCTAAAGATCCTAAGGTCCGACCTAAAAGAGCCTAAAGGCCAATATAAGAGAGCATTAGAGCCGATCTAATAAGCCTAAGGGCCGATATAATTAGAGTTCGAGACCTCGCTCTCGCTCAAATCGAATCCAAGGGTTCGGTTATTACGAGCTTAAAACAAATGACCAACTATAGCTTTAAGATTCACATAAAAGGTATAACGATGAGCTCGAAAGCTTAACAATCATTGACAAAAACTTAAGGGCTTGCCTTATCCTAATAAAACTATTCGAGCTTGGTTGTTCGAGACAACCCACCTGCCAGTTCGAAACGAGCCATCCCCAAGACGAGTTCTGGAATGAGTTTCGGACTCGGGGACTCACCTTCGTAACTGGGGGACTTGCCCTTCAAATGAGTTTCAGACTGGGGGACTCGCCTTCGTATCTTGGGGACTTGCCCTCAGAAAAACGAATAACCTAAGGGTTTATTTTGATGACGAGTTGTAATAAAATAATGAGAACTTTTTAGCAAAGGCAATTAAACATAAAAATGCATGAAGAAAAAACTTATGAAGGCATCGGGGAAAAATTTCTCATTATATCCAAAAAATTTATGTACAAAGGGCCAGCTAGGGCCTTACAAAAGAAAAAAGAAAACGAAGTTACGACCTAGTAATCGATACCGGCCTCCTCCCTAGCAGCTTCTTCGGAGTCACCCTGTTTAGCCACCTCACCGCTATCTGCTCCGCTACCGGACCCGCCATCGCCATTATCATCATCATCATCGGATGAGGTGAGCTGTCTGGCCTAGGTTTTGAGCTCATTGGCTCGAGCAATCTCTTCGGAAAGATCAACACCTCGAGCATGAATTTCCTCGAGGGTTTCCCTCCGGGATTGGCACTCAACCAAGTCACTATGCCAGTCCTCTCGATTGGAAGCCTCCCTCAGCTGGTTTGAACAGCTACGGCATCAGCTCGATACTGCGCTATGGATTTATCCGCCTTGGCCTTAGTGTTTTCGATCTCAGCCTTGGCCTCGCCAAG